AACTACCTTTTCCTGGTGGACCCAGCATTTTGCTAGACTTGATCTGTGAGGCCTGAGCATCCAGGAATGGAACTGGAGTTGATTTACTGGAGAAGGGGTAGTGGTAGGAAATGCATGCAGTTCAGAGGGAGTTCTTGAGGCTCGGGTCTGAGTTTGGTGTTTAAAATGGTCTCTCCTGGGAAGAATTGGTAATATGAAATGTGAGGAAGCTTTAAAAAAAAATCTGTGGAAATTTTCTCTATTGTCGCCTTTTGTTTTTATAGACCCAAAAGTGTCTTCATGGTTCCCTGGGGCAGGTGGGGAGCCCGAGTGGTATCATGACTTTAAGTTGGGCTGATAACCACAAGGTCAGCGGTTCAAAACCACCCACCAGAGAACACACGGGGCTTTCTACTCCCGTAAAGAGTTACAGTCTTGGAAACCCACAGGGGCAGTTGGACCCTGTCCTATGGGGTTGCTGGGCATCAGAACTGACTGATGGCAGGGAGCTGGGCTGGGTAGGCAGTAGGGGAAAGAAAGAAAGAGGAGTTTTGCTTAAGGGAATTTGAGTTCCTGGTAAAGGTGATGAAGACTTTGGAAACAAAGTCGTAATGGTTACGTAAGGTGGTGAACATGTCGTTCGAGATTGGCTTGGGGGTGGGCGGCGCCTGACAGCTCGTAACTCCTTAAGAAGAGCTCATTCCTGACACAGAAGTAGGGCGGCTAATCCCACCTTTCCTCACGCATTTTCAAGTCCTCTGGTATCCCAGGCAAAGCTGTCAAGTAGTTCCTTGCCTGATTCCCAGTACCTCCCCCTGCCTGGTCTTCCCAATTCCCTCAGTTGGCTCGTAGCATCCCTCTTAGGGAGAGGGGTGATTTGAAAGCCCATGTGCTCCCATGCTGCGGATGCAGTACACGCGCCCCTTTCTTTCCATGCGTTGTCTCCATTCAGAAAGACCTCCCCAGTTAGGGCAATGGGTGTCTGTCCAGCTGACTCTCCCTTGTGATACTCCAGTGTCAGAGTGGAACTCCTGTGCCACAAAACAGAACTGTGCTCCACAGGGGTTTCAGTGGCTGATTTTTCGGAAACAGACCACCAGGTCTTTCTTCTGAGGCACCTCTGGGTGGGCTGGACTTGAACCTCCAACTTTTTTGCTTAGCAGCCGAACACGTTAACAGTGTGCGCTGCCTTGCGACAGCTAAAACACAAGATCCCAGGAGTAAGCTTTCGGTCCTTACGCCTTCTAAGGAAAGGACATGGGGAGGGGACGTCTCCTTTTCCCCTTTTGGTGGTGCAGGCCCTGCTCCCAGCCCCTCTGAGGTCAGCCCTGTGGAGGACCGCTCCTCTGTCTACTCGTGGGTCTGACTGTAAGCACACTGCCTACAACCTGATTGAGGTGTGGCCTGTGGCCTCCTGGCCCTCCTGGCAGGTAGCTGAGTGAATGTAGGGAGCCAGTTCACAAGGCCTCAAGAGGGCAGTGTATCCTTCCATCGTGGTGATCACAGAGTCTGGTGATGGGTGTCCTGAGAGCCTCAGGTGTGTCTTCAGGTACCACACCTACAAGAGAACGCCAGCCCTGATGTCTACTAAGGCATCCCGTTTCTTTTTGAAAGTATCACCATGTGTGTCAGTCTGGGTAGACTAGAGAAACAAATTCATAGACACTCATTTGTGTATAGGAAAGAGCTTTATATAAAGAGTAAATTGTACATTAAGAAAACATCCCAGCCCAGTCCAGATCAAGTCTATAAGTCCGGTGTTAGCCCATCTGTCCAGTACCAGTCTGTAAATTCATGCAATGACACCGAGTGCAGGAAGATCACAGACCAGTGGGTGATCTAGTGTCAGTGGACGCATCTTAGTGCTGGCGTGGGTCTCCATGTGACTCCTCCAGCTCCAAGGCTCTGGCTGCCATCAGCATAGCTCCATATGGCTTGTCAACAGGAATGTCTCCCAGGGAGGGAGTGTGTGTCCCGCCGCCAGCGAGCTATTTATCTCCTTAGTGCCTCTAAATGAGGTCATCTCAAGCTGCGACCTGATTGACAGGCTAAACTCCATCCCTTCACTCTTAATAGTCTCAAGTTTACAACAGATTATGTAACTACCACATCATGTGTTGGTACCACAAAACCAGGTCATAGAGAAAAGGCCTATACAGAGTCGGTGCCCCAGCAGTTGGGGTGTGGGTGAGGCATGGATGTCGGGTGGCAAACACTAGGAAAGTATCTGAGGCCAGAAGGGGGGACAAGCAAGAGACCATGTCTAGAAGACAGGGGAGAGCCAGTAGGAAGAGGCCAGGGAGCAGGCTCTGACCTAGGACCCTTCTGAAGCATGGCCCCTGCAAGGCACTGCGTCAGGGCTATGGTGGCATGATCTCAGGTTGGAGTCCCTGGCCATGAGGTAGCAGAGGTTCCCAGACCCCCAGGGTGAAGACAACAATTTAATAAACAAATAACTTGACGGGGCACTGATTTGAAAGCCTGAAGTTGTCAGGCCAGGTCTTATACATCTGTCAGGTGGTGATGTACTTGGTGACTCCAGATGGAGATACCGGCCCTGGAGCAGCAGACCCAGGGTGTCCATGCACCCCATTTCAGGACACAATTAGCTGTTTGACCAATTCAGCTGAAAGGCAGTTCCTTCATGATTTTGGAGTTGGCTAAACATACCGGGAGACTCAAAGGTCTCAGATATCTGAGAGAGCCTCTTTCAGATTTAAAGGGTGAGCCTCTGTGCCCAGAGCAGGCACACTCTAGACCCTCCATGGAGGAGGCAGCCCTGGGCAGGATTCAGGTACATGCCTCTGCCAAGCGCCTCTTCCTTCACTGTCTGGAAGTGGAAGCGACTTGAGTTTTCTCTATGAGTGTGGAAAAGAGGCCTAGACCTCATCGATCCTTCTAGATAAGCCAGTGAAGAAGCTTGGGTGGGTGGGGAGGCTGGGGCCCCTCCCGGTCCCTCTTTACCTGCCCCTGTGGTGTCTTGGAGGCTGCATCCTTGAAGTCTGTAGACATTCACCCAACTATGAGACCTCTCTCCTCCCATCGACCATGTATAAACAATTTCTAAAGAATTGAACTCGAAAGTACTTGTGTGAAGAAACAGGCTTCATTTGAGAGTATAGGCTTCTTACTCACATGGAACACACCCACGCCTGAAGTGAGGGCTGAGTGCGGCCTTTGGGCTCATCAGCCAACCCCCACACTGCTCTGCTGGTCTTGACCCAGATGCTTTGCCCAAGTGTACAGAGCAAGGTCCCAAAGCTTCTACTGGATGCCCCACGGTTGGCTTTGGGATACCATGGCTGCAATGGCTATTTACAATGGAGGCAGGGCAGGCCCTGAATAGTCTGAGCCCCAGGATGCGCTCTCTACTGGTGGTGGCAGGGAGAGGGAGGGAGGGAGAAGGTGAGTGAGAGAGCGAGCACAGAGTGGAGGTGGATCTTGGTGAGGTGGACTTGGATGTGGCACCATTGTCCTCAGCCATTCCAGCCTTTAGCCACCTTCTTCCTCAAGGTTTGATACTTCCCACTGCTCTGTTTCAGAGGGAACTCTTCTCTTTTAGATCTGAACCCAACAAATCACTTCAATTTCTTAGTCTTTTTCATTCAACCATTTTCTTTTGGTTCGTAGTAGACTTGCAGACCAACAGATAAGTACAGCTAAAAGGGATGTAAAAGAACCATTGAGGGGGAGAAAACATATATGCATCATGATATAGCATATAGGTCATGCCTGTTTTAAAAACCCATCACCTGTCTGCCAGTTTGTCGAGCTGTATTGGGTTTTGTGTTGCTGGGACCCTGGGGGCTGTGCGACTGGCATATCAGGGTCACCTGTGATGACAGGCTTCAGCTGAGCTTCCTGAGACGGGCTGGGAGGACGGTCCTGGTGACCCTTCACAACGGAACAAATGGAGACTCCGTGGTCACATTGTCTGATGACCAGCTGTCATGAGGATGACACAGGACCACGTCTCAGTCTGTTACCTAAAAGGCCACTGGGAGAGCAGACTTGCTGGCAGCTGATGCCAACCGCCTAGCTAACAGCAGGCTGCCCGTGACGGCCTCTGAGCAAGGGGCCAGATTTGGAGGTTAGAAGTCAGGGGAGACGTGTGCTTTATCGGGAACTCTCAAATGTTCTGAATTTAGTGAGTGCCGATAAAATCGAATACATTTTTTAAACCTGTCCGAGTCGAGGCTGGTTGTTTGGACGGGGACACGATGTGGCAGGAGGTGGAAAGGATTGGTAGGAAAGTTTGGGGGACAGACAATACCTCGGTGCTTGGCTGAGAGCTGAGAGGGCCAGTTAGAAGATTGTGTTTGGGTTGAGAGAGAATTTGAGAAGGCCGGCAAAGAAGGGTTGTGCCCTTCTTAGCTGCATGTGAAGGTGGGGAGGGTTGGACAGATCTGAAGTTCCCCATGCCCTCCACTGGGTGGGAGCCAAGAGGGTGGCGGAGGGAGGGATTTCTATACTGAGGTTGCAGCCAGGAAGAGACAAGACCTG